TTCTTCCACAAATCATTCAGCAATAACTGCCTCATACCCTCCAGTCTGGAATGTAGCAACGTGCAGCTGATGCCATCATTACAGAACTGGTAACAAAACCCAAAGAAACAAACAAGAAAGATTTTTTAGGTTTGTTTTTGTTGTTATTGGTTTGGTTTTTGGGTGCCTTTTCTTTTCCTGAAACATGCTAACATTTCACAGAGCAAGTAATGTATTTAGTGGGAACCTATTATTGTTTTACTGAATTTCAGAAGCAGAAGTGGAAGAGAAGCAGGCAAATACACCAAGATCTTAATGTCAGATGCCCATGTCTGTGGCTTTAAGACTTGTGTGGAAGTCTTTAGCTCTCAAGGGAAAATTGCCACTTCTGCATCTTCAGAAGTATTTCTGAAACAACAGATGCTACACTTCAGAGATCCCCTCCAAAGGGGATGGTCTTCAGTTCTCTATGATCTCCATAGTCTAGAGAATTCTCCACTGAGTTTTAGTAAGCATGCTAGCAAACTTCCATGGTACACAGATTTGTTTTTCCTAACAATTAATTTAAAAATCTTACAGACCAGGACTTTTGTTTTGTAAGAACAGGCTTATCTGCCATCAACAGGATTCTTTCTTTACTTTGATATTTCTTAACCTCTCCAAATTTACTAAACATTAAGAAAAAGAAAGGAATTTAAGAAATATTCCTTTAAGGTATCCGGAGCTGCATATATTTTTACAGAAACTGAATAGATTGATTTATATTTCAGAAGTGTAACCAAGTATTCATTTCTTTGATTTCAGGTGTAACATGGATGAGATGCATAACATCTCTCCTACCTGATTTAGGTCTTGTCCAATCTTTGAGCTCCATTCAGTCAGTGTTTTCTGGATGCAGTCCCGCACCTGCAAAATGTTTTTTTGAAGTGTATGTTAGAGATGCACAGAAATACAAGGGTAGGACAGACTGAGGAGGTGAACTAATAATACCATTACACAGAAGATTCTTCTTTCGTATCTTCTGAAACTTGTTCAAACTAGCTAACTTTCATATTTTCCTCTCCTCTTTCACAGAGTTTTACCAGCCATACAAGTACTGTACTTTATTTATTTCTCAGACCAATGCCATCTTTAAAGAAAGAATAATGCTAAACCAGCATCAACTAGGGTGTTGGGTGGTTTGGGATTTTTTTAGTGTGGAGATTCTTAAGTTACAAAGTAGTCAGATAAAAGCATATGTGCTGTATAACATTGTAGAAATGAGGCTTTAAAATCAATTACTAAATACTCACTATATTAATTACTTCCCTTTTCAAGATGCATACAACTCTTCTCATTTACTGCCTACCTAGTCCAAACTACTAGGGCTTTTAAGTCCTTCATTACTGTAGGGGGAACATTCAGATCCTACCCCGTATTTGCATTTTTCCTGTGACAATAGATCAAAATAAACTCGACTAAGATTCTGATCATGTATTTTCTTGAACATAGCAAGACATAACTTGAGTCTAAATCAGCTGATTAAATGCATTCTGCACCAGTGTGGCAGCTGTACCAATGATGCAGCTTCCCTCTGATCCATCCTGGGAGTTAAGCACAGGTACTGCCCCACTGCTCTCTGCCACAGGTAGGAGCACTTCCATGAGCTGCTGCTTTACTTCACTTTCAACAGTACATTTGATAACTATGTGCATACCTACTCTGTGTACCACTAAACAGCAATCTCCTATGACACCGATCATTAATTCAGAGAGCTCATAACACCATGTGCAAACTAGAAGTCAACACCCCCCCATATCACAAAGACACAATACAGCAATAATACTTTGTGAGCACATTCTATACATTCTTTCCCAATCATTTAAAATAGCACTAAAAAAAATAAAAAGAGTCAATAGGCCAGAACTGACCCAGTAAATAGCTAAGCACAATAACTCTTTAATAAAATGACTCTTTATCCTATTTTGATGCAATTAATAATGTTATCTTTTCCTTTCTGAAGGCGAGACAGTGCTAAATACATATACTCTATATGTTGCTGCTTTGCAACCGCCACAGTTCATATTTGTACATCAGTTATGCACAAGCCTCTGACTCCAAAGCACTCCCCTGCCCTTGGGCCATGTGTATTTGACTGCTTTGACCAGCTTTTCCAAACACAGCTGCATCCCAAAACTGCTAACACTGGGTTCATAGTTTGCAAAAATTTTAGCTTACATTCTGCCGCTGAGAACTACACACACATTAACTACACCAAATAGAAGAGTTAAATGCTAATTTATTTTTGATAATTAATACCAATATTTGCTTTTGGAGATCCAGCAGCCTTGGAAAGCAGCCAGATTTCTCTGTAAACAAATGAATTTAAATACTCTAACTGACGAGTTATGCACACTGGCCACCCTTTATTTAAGAGCCCTCCAGAAACTACTCACACAAGGGTGCCCATAAGGATACAGCTATGTCTTTGTGACAGAATTTAGCCCTCTTTCACACAGGTCACAGATTCTTTAATAAGCGACCAGGCCAAATTAAAAAGTTATTATCACATGACAATTAAACAAGAGCATGATGAATTCTTCCTTCTTGTTACATCATCCTCCCAGACACCTTTCTTACCATTTGGGCATGACTAATATGCACTCAACCAGCTTCCAGGTGATCAACAGTGTCACTACATAGCCAAACCCATAGGTTTTCTAAGTATTAAGTGACTATTCTGAGATTACTGTGTCATGATGAGACAGCAAATACAGTGGTTCTAAAGTTCATGGCCGTAGGATCTCCAGATATTTTATGAGAACTGTTCTAAGTGTTGACATATACTGCTAAAGGTAATACTTTTAAAGTGGTGATTAAAAAATTCTTTTCAACTTTTTAACAAAGAATGACAGCTATACTCTTTAAAGAGGACAGCGATGACTACTTTTCCCAAGACCTATCACTACCAAGAAATTAAATTAATTTCAGGTTAGAAAAAGAGAATTTTCATTACCTGTCATGCAAGCTCATAGCTATTCATATGTTTACGTTGCTAAAGGAGTATCAGGGATCTCCTTTGCCATTACGGGCAGCAATTCAACTTGCAGGGGTTTTAACCCTCCCTTCCCGAGCCCGAGGCCCGGGCTGGCTCCTTCCCAGGGCAAAGTGCTTCCGGGGGCACGGGGGGCCGCCTTCCCCGCAGGGCAGAGGCACCAAGCACACGAAACGAACAAACCCCAGCTTTGCCTTTCCCATCTCCCGCCGGCGGCGGGCGCGGACCGAGGGCGGCCAAAGCCTTTCCCCGCGGTGACGGGCACCGGGCCAGCCCGTGCCCTGCCAGGACAACAATCCCGCTCGGACAGCGGGCAGCGGCGCCCGGCTCTCCTCGGCTGCCGCTCCGCCCGCGGCGCGGCCCGACCCCTCCGCCCCAGGGCGAGACCCCGCCGCGGCATCCCGGGGGAAGCCCCGTCCCGGCGCTCACCTCCTCTCCGGGGGTGGAGGGACACTTCTTGCGCAGGCAGCCCCAGTTGAGCAGGTTGCCGGTCTGCAGGGTGAGCCTGCCGGCGCGCTCCAGCAGCGCTCGGGCGCCCTCCGTACCCATGGGGATCCTGGCGCTGCGGCGGCCGCCGGGCTCTTGGCGACACCTGCGTCCCCGGGCAGCGCCGGCCGTGACTCAGCTCCGGTGCGGGGCGGGAGTGCGGGGACAATGAGCGGCGGGCGGGCCCGGCGGCAGCGGGAGCGGCACCGCCTCGCGCTCCCTCACGGCGCGGGGGCCGTGCTGCGCAGCGCCCCCTGCGGGCGGACGGGGCGCAGCGCGCGGAGGGGCGGGGCCTGCCGGGGGCGGGCCTGGCGGGGCGGGGCCGGAGTGGGGGGCGGGGCCACGCTCCCGGTTCCGCCGCACTCCGGGCGGTCCCGGCGGCTGCGGGGCCGGGCATTGTGTCCGTTCCTGTTCAGTGGTTCGGTCCTGGGTCCGCGGTTCGGTCCGGGGTCCGGCCCCGGTGGGGTAGCGACCGCGGCACTCGGACCCGGAGTCGCGCCCAGAGGAGTACCCGAGACACACGTGGCGCTGCCCGGCGGTAGCGGCCGAGGATTCGATAACGCCCCCCCGGGCCGTGGGCTGCTGGGCAGGCTCAGTAAATTAATGAAACCATCCGAATTGCGGTCATGCGCGTTCAAGTAACAGGTAGTCGTTGACAGACACCAAGCGAAAAGGCCCAGACAAGGCACCCAAGCGCTTATCCCATCTGGCTGTATTTGCACTGGGGGGAAACAATGTCAGGGCAGGACTCCACATTACACCAGGTGGTTCTGAAAGCATTGTGGTTTGGGGATTTTGTATTTTTCTTTATGAGCAGGGGGTCTTCTCGAACGCCACAAACTGACTATTATAAAGGAATCGGGGCGGGGGGGCAGCTTTCCTCTCCCCCCCATAACTCAAATTAAAGGGAAGAGTGAGCCACATACTGTAATTTTCCTGTCAGCTTCGGAATTTGAACTGTGTTTCTAACAGATTTTCCTTCCTCAGGCTGCATGTTGTGCTGATAAAGAGAACCAGTATTTGCATAACTTCTGTCTGTCTGAAGCACTGCTTGATCGCTCCATGGTACAGAATGTTAGTTTAAATGTTCCTTATATTTATGTTCTCATTAATTTTTCATGTTGGGAAACGTTTTCCTCATTGTATATGATTACAGAGCATGTGGAAATGAAATATACTGAAAGAAATGCCAGCTTATTTGGAAAAGCAGTGTTTTGGTTTTTTTTTTCTTTTTCTGTAACATAAAAATCCAGAAGGTCTAACCAGGCCCAAAGGTTAATCCTCCAGACTCAGAGTTGGCTTGGGAAGGAGTATACATCTCCATATTTGTCCAGATTTACACTAGTAATGAATGATGTTCTGTTAGGTCTTTCTCATCAGCCTTCTGGCTTTCCAGTAGAGGCCTTTTCTTTTGGTGAAATTTATTATTTGATATTTCATTTAAGTAGCTTTGATGGTTGTAATGCTGTGCAAGCAGGTTAAACTTGGAGATAGCAGAAGGTTTTCAAACAGCGCATATCATAAATCTTTCTGTTTAATGGAAATTTATGGCAATGAAAAAGCAATGTTCCTTTGTAGCCTTGTAGATTTTGCTGTTATTTAATTACCTTAGCTCTAGAAAAAAGGATATCACATAATGAAGAACCAGTGGAGGAAAACAGCGTCAGCCTCTGCACTGCTTTATGCCATGCATTTCATTGTCAGTGACAGCAGAACACATCACAGGAGAAGGGATCTCAGCAGAGTTCTGTTGTCAGTCCAATCACCCCTGAAACGTCAAGTAAACTATCAAAGAAAGAAAGGAAGATGTTTTCTAGCTCATGATCAGTTGTATTTTTGCAGGTTATCTCATTAAGCTACTTCAGATCTTAAAAAAAAAAAAAAAAAAAAGGCGAAAAAAAGCGCGATTGATTTCCTGCAGTAATTCTGTAATGCTGGAAGAAAAATAAATCACCCTTTTTGAATGAAATGCCACTGGCTCGCCACTCCCGGCGGCCGGTGAACATCGCTCTTCTCTCTGTTTTCGAACAGCGGGAGCTGCAGAACTTGGCGTGTGCGAGGTGCGGGCGGTCCCGCACTGCTGCGGCTGCCCGGGCAGCGCCGCCGCCTCGCCGGGAGCGCTCCCGGCCCCGCTCCCGCCGCCGCCCCCCGCGCTCGGCCGGGCAGCGGCTCCGGCCCGGGCGGGGCGGGGGGTCCGCACGCCGCCTGATTGGCCGCGGCGCGGGGCCCGGACGGTGCCGCGGGCGGAGCGGCGGTGGCCGCAGGATGGGCGGCAGGGCCGGCTTCTTCGAGGTGGGTGCGGGCGGCGCCGGGCGCGGGGGGCGGACAGGGCGAGGCGAGCCCGGACTGGGCTCCGCAGCATCTCTGCCAGCGGCGGACGGGGCTGCCCGGGATCCCGGCGGGCTCCTCTCTATTCCCGCTCCATCTGCATTGAAGCACCGGGGAGCCGGAGCCATCCGCTCCCGGGTCTGCCAAGGGAAGTGACCGCCGCTGGAGCCGGGGGGAGAACGCTGCTCGCCGGGGGTTTCCTTGGGACGAGTGGGCAAAAGAGGCTGCCGCCCGCCCCGTCTTTTCCTACCTCGGGCACGTTGCCCTCTCTGTTTCTCGTCCCCGCGTCCCCGGTGTTCGTCGGACGCGATTCCGGAGAGCGAGGCGGGGGGAATCCCCGGGCTCCCGGCGGTCCGCGGAGGCGCTGGATCCGTGGCTCTGGGCTTCCCGCGGATCCTGCCTCGGGCAGCACCGCGGGCAGCCTGCGGGGCGGGTCTGGCAGCGCGTCCCGGCCGTGCGGAGAGAGCGAGGAATGTTCTCGGCACCTTCTGTCCCCAACTTCTCGGAAGACCCCGTCGCCAGCCGTTGTGCACCCAGAGCCGTCCCGCACAGCCTTCGGCCCGGTGCAGGCGTGGCCCAGGAGGCAGCGCCCCCGGCCCGGCTCAGGACGGCTCCCGGAGCGGCGCCCACCGTGCGGCGGGAGGAGCGAGGGGGCCCCCGCTGGCACGGGGTGTTCGATCTTGCGTGGGGAACGAGAAGCAGCCGGGCGGAGTTCAGTACAGTCAGCTCCTTGTGCTTACAGAAAGCGCAGGATAACGCGCACCTGGGGGGCGTCAAGGGTAACATCTCATCGACTTACATGAACAGCCACACAGACTCTTTGCTAGAATTAGTTAGGCTGGCTAATACAAAAAATCTTAAGAGCGGCTGAACGTCTGTACAAGCTAAATGACAGCAATCCTGAATGTGTTTCTGCAGGCTTATAATTCAGTTTCTCCATCACGACTTTCCTAAAAGCAATGCACAGCGGGAGGAACAAAATTCCTTTTCCCCAAACAAACCAGTTGTTATAACATAAACAGAATACAAAACTATCTGAAAAGCATCTGCTCCTTTAGTAACTTATCATGACCTGAAAGTTCAGATTTTGCTTTTCAAAGCTGTAACAATGTTCTGGACACCACAATTCATCAAAATAAGCTGCCTACAGCTCTTATGTAGTACCTGCACAATGCCTTTTCCTCAACAGTGCTGACTTTCCTGGTGGTTTCCTTTTTTTTAGGAAAAACAGCCAAGCTTTTCTACCAGGGTCCCAAACTGTTGAGAGATCGAAATGCTGAAGCAGGCACTTGTGTATTACTCTACTGAATGTCTTTAGTCTTAAGTCTTCAGGTTTGCTCTTCTGCCTCAGCCTCACTTGAACTTTTGAATAGCACTAGTTTCTAGAAGACCTCAAAAGCATGGACATCATTATTGTTATCTGATTTTGCAGATGGGGAAACACACAGAAGTTGAATGACCTGTTCTGTCTTACTAGGCAGTGCAATAGCAGCAGATTCAGGTCTTTTGAGCCCTAAATCAAGATCCTGTGCCTAAGCAGCACTAATCCAAATTCAGTATGGTTCATGGATTTACACATCTGCCTTGAGCTTCTTAGTCCTTTTCTCTTTACAGCGGATAATGGGTGGAAACAGATTTGTCCAGCTCCTCCAATATGTGTCTGAGCTGGCTCAGGGGGAAGGATGTGGGCAAAGACTGCCTGGGTAGCACTGGGCAGTGCTGTTACATAGTGCTTTCTGCACTGTTCTCTCTGCTGATTTGCTTTCTGTTATAAAGTCACTGACTTTGAATTCTGAATTGCATTTCCCCACCATGCATTCAAACTGAGCTATCAAAAGAGGGAAAGTGAGTGTTCCACTTCTCTATTGGTGTTCTAAATTTTAGCATTCCCTCTTAGAGGAATGGTATAGATCTGTACTTTCCTCTGTACAATTCTAACCATTTACCCTTTACTGCTGTTCCAGGGTGCATCCTGATAAGAATCACAGAGCATTTTACAATCACCAAACTGTCTTGTTTACTTTAGGTATTGGTATGTTTCTAATTTCACCTCAGTTTTTTTAATCACTGGTAGCTCAGAAGAAGATTGGCAAGGACAACTATAAAGAAATATGTACCTGACAATACTGCACCTCATAATTTGAGGGGATTCAGCTCCAAAGATTGAAAGATGTATGACAGAGACTTGTATCTAGATTAATGTTCTAGGAGTGCTCATTTCTCCAAACTGATTGGAGAATAACTCTTATGATCTATTTGAGATATGTTTCAGAGCTTATGGTACAGTTCATCCTAAAAATGCCTGATTTCCTCCTTTCCATGCAAGGGATGTATAGGTGACATGCTCGGATGTAAATGTCTGTAGCAGACCTCTGAAGTTTGGCTAATGTATTCTACCCTTTTTTTTCTACTTCTCAGGTTTACGTCCTCAAAAGCATTTAATATAAAGAAAATAGTATGGTGTTCTGACTTCCTAGAGGAAAGATCCCTGAACAAATACACTCACACTGAAGAAAATTAATGTCATAAGAAGCATAGTTGTGCTTTTGCTTCCTTAACTGGTTTGGATGGGAAGTGCTTTTTATGAGCAGTGATAACCAAAAATATTTTGGAGTCTTCATGCCCTGAGGATAGATTGAACTGACATATGCAGTACAGTCTAAAAGCAATAATGTACTGGCCTCCCTTGCTGGCATTTAAAGTTCTCCCCTCCCTTCTGTCTGAGATGAAAACCCTCTGAATGTAAGGGGGGTGGTGATTGCTGCCCAGCTAGCATGGCTGAGATGTCACAGCTCCTGTTACAAAGCCTTCTCCCACTCAGAGCTATGCTGTCTAAAGCTTTGTCAAGTAAGAGCACTTGGCACAAGTGCCAAAAGCAGGACTGCAGGACATTTTAAGATTCTGTACCCTCCAAGAATTGCCTGAAAAGACAAGGCCACAAATGAGATATTTGAACAGACATTTAAAGGGACACTGCTGAAAACTGCCCTGCTGTTTGAGGACATCTGCTCTGTTTTCACAAATAACACTTAAGACTATTATCACAGAAAGAGATGAGATGATAGGGAAAAACATTATCCTTTTCTCTGCTCTTATCACTTCTCCACACACTTACCAAGACTTTCAACACTAAGTTGTGCTGCTTCACTTAAAACCAGCAATTTGTCTTTTTTCTCTATGAAGCTTGAGAGAGAAAATTTTTCATAGGAGAAGATGGTAGTAAAACATTACATGGCAGGAAGTACCTGAAGCTATTCAGAATTTGAATGCTACGTTCAAAATTAAAAGTCTTACTTTAGAAAAAAAATATACTTCTTTGAAGTATATTTAAAAAAAAAATTAATACAAATTTTGTGAGTTCACCTGTCTGTATAAGGTCTCTAAACTTCCTAGGGCTTTCAGTCTTCCTCCCCTATCAAAAGACAGCAGTGCCATCCTTGCTGCCGCTATGTAAAAAACAATGAAAAAAAATCTCTCTCTCTTCTGTTTCTTCAATTCCATGTCAAAAGCATACACTGGATATACATTTTGACATCCTTACACCAAATGATGCATGAAAATTAGTAATGAAACTAGAGATACTGAAGTTCAACATTCCAACTCCCCATGCTGATGACAAGCTATGATTGTGATTTCACAAAAAATTTGTAAATGTCTTCTACCTCAGTATTGTCACTGTAGAAAATAATCTCCATAAACTAAAGCCCTGAGGCAATGAATATTCTCTTGCATACAGAAAAGGCCATGCAGTGGTGTTGGAAAACCCGGATGTCGACTTCACAGTGAGTCAAAGCTGGCTCAGGTTCTCAGATGGAGGCGCTCCAATGAGCTTCATAGTGACACTGATACTGAGTGAATGATGTGACTTTTTAGTATGCCTGGGGAACTGGCAACATGCAGCTCTGTGTTAGCCAGTGTAAGTAAATACCCACTGAGTCAGTATTAACTGCTGCAGGTTCTTTTTTCATCTTGTGTATCCTCCTGAAAGATGCTGTACTAGTAAAAGCTGGAAAGCTTTCATAGACTTTCAAGAGCCAGAATTCACTGTGAAACCTCTAAAGGTTCTTCCTTTCCTGAAAAATAAAGTCCCTCCCCCCCAAGTGAATAGATCTTCCTTTTCCTTCCTGACCATTGTTGTGCTGACTCATTTTATCCCTGTCAATTACACAAATGGATTTGTCTTTCTGAAGGATGACCATTCTGAAGGATACCTGTTATCATCCTTAGGTCCAGGCACACGAAGTGAGTTGGGTGTTGATATGACTCTGTGTTAGGCACCCAGCTCCATGATGAGATATGATAATTTGGTTAAGGTATCTAAGTCTACTTCAACTCTATCCCTTTATTGTATGGTATCCTAAAAGGCATCCACTCTAAAGAAATACTGAACAGAATTACAATGGAAGTGAGCAGTGCTTAAAGGAGCCTAGAGAGGAAGAAATTCAGGATTTCTCTTTGGTAGTAGACTGCTCTTTTCACTGAAATACACTACTGTCCTCTCCTGCCTCTACTTTTTGGTCTCCCTCTGTGGGAGGGGTAGTGGGGAATGGCAAGAGACACTCTAAAGCAATTTTCCCACTTCCTGGCAGTGTGCCTATTACATGAAGAACTAGATCAACTCCTTTGCTGACAGTTTAGTTTCATTCAGAAATAATCTAAATGCTGTGCATTGTGCTGACCTTGCGATAAAGATGCTTACCGGATCAAGGTCTTCAGGGATTTAGATGAGAGCATGTCTAACT